TGGACGAGAGGTTGGACAGGAACTGGAAGCCATCGGTGTATTGGGTGATGACAGTGTTGGCCACATTCACGACACTCATAGGCATCTCTGCGTCGGCCGTGTACTCGATGGTCGAGGACTGGGATTATTTGGATTGCATTTACTTCTGTTTCGTCGCCTTTTCGACCATTGGTTTCGGCGATTTGGTTACCAATCAGAAGGACCCCATAGGACACGACTCCTACCACTCCCTCGTCTACCGGATCGCCAACTTTGTGTTCATAGCATTGGGCTGTTGTTGTATTTATAGCCTGTTTAACGTGACGTCTATAGTAATCAAACAATTTCTGAATTGTATGATAAAGAAATTGAATTTCAAGTGCCGGTGCCGTCGCGGCCACCGGACGCCAGTCATGACACAAGTGACCAGAAGTCGGCGAAACGCGTTGACGCCAAACCATCTGCGAAACTACTCGAACGCCACCCACAAGACGGTGACAGTGAAGGCCAGTATCGCCGACTCGAGTGACGCCGACTCGACGTATGACTCGGACTCCGAGCGCCGCAACTCTAATGAAATGATTTGTATGAAGGATGTCATCAAAACCAATGCCGTTTCGTTGGCTATACTCCAGAAGGAGTTGTATGAATGCGCCCAAAGGGAAAGGAGTTACAGGAGTCCCGCCATTCTCTTGCCCTCCAAAGCCAATGACAATGACTTCAATGTGGGAACTGTCGGTCCGCTCGCTATTGTGTCCAAAAAGTTAGGCGAAGACGACAATTGACGCAATTGTGTTGAATATATTTCGCATATTTTGAATACATTTTAATGGAAACTAATTTTACAATTAATTAATGGTTGGAATAAAATGAATGATATTTGAGACTAACTTACAGTAGAATAGACTTGTTATCAAATATAAAAATAGTTTCAATTTTTTCAAGAATTATATATACATATGATGTAAATATTTCTAAATACTAGTCAACAAATTCAAACATAGAGAATTGTATTACAATTGATTGCAAATTATCATTAATTTTTATTAAATTACTATAAAACAACGAATTAATCAAATGATTACAAGTGATACCAAATACTAAATTCATTGTACTTCACATGTTTTGTTAAGACTTTTGAAATAATTAATAAATAATAAATTAGTTCAAACATAATAACTGATAAAATATATTAAAAAGTTTTCTCTTTTATGAAGTTTATATTAAGATATCATTGAAAATCCTTTATCAAACAAAATCTCATTCTCTCTGATATATAAAGTAAGATATAAAATAAATTTTGTTGAAACCAGTTGTGGTGACAGTTGATGATAATCGGGGTAATCGGTGGTCAGATGTCACTCTATTCCTATTATGCCTACCTGTGAATGATGTGTGAGTTACACGTTATACTCACTACCAGTACTACAGTATGGATAAAGCGATAG